TAAAACACACGCATTTTTCACAACAGATGTGCAGCGCCCTGCTGGAGCCAGCTACAGCCCTGCAGCTTTTTCTCCTCCCTCCATCCCTGTGAGCAGGGTGTCCAGGCAGCCCTGGCACAGCCCGGAGAGCGGGCAGGCTGGCACGGTGCCAGGCAGGATGCTGGCAGGAGCAGCCAGAGGTGCTAAGCTGGTAACACTATCCCGAAACCCGATAAAGGACAGGGGGAGGTTCGCAACACGTGGGATTAACAAGGTCAGCTCGAGATTTTTCTCAGGGTGAAAATCAAAGGGGAAAATATTTGCCTTGTGTGACTCAGTGAGTTCCTGAGCAGCCGCCTGAGTTCCTGAGCTCACCCCAGCCTGTGGCCACGGCTGAGGAGCCAGACTGAGCCCTCCTGCTCAGTTTAATAACCAGAGACTCCCCAGCTGCTCTGCTGTCCCTTCATTCACTCATTGAAATGACAAAAATCAGTAAAATCCCCCTCTGATGCTGGTCACCAAACAGGGACCATCCCAACCCTCTTGCAGAAGATCTGCCCTCTGTATTTGAGGAATTAGCGCCCCAAACTCACCCCAAATCCCCAACTCCCAGTTTGCCTCGTTGTTCTGAGGTTCAACTACCCCTGAGAGCTCTTCCTCACCCTTCATCCCACCTGCCCTGAAAGCCCAGCCTGTGCTTTGTGCTGCATGGTGAATCCTGCCCTGCTGAGCCCCAGCTGCTTCCAGGGGTGGCAGCAGGGCTGGAGAGGGTGGATTTGAATCACAAATCCCCTTGTAGGGCTGAGAGAGAGCAGCTCCTCCACTGCTCCTTCCCCAGGCACATCCCAGGCGCAGGCAGCAGTGCCCAAGAATCACAGAACTGATAATTTAGGTTGGAAAAGCCCTCTGAGATCATCAAACCCACCATGAAATGATGTCCCTGAACATCCACCTACACCAGCCTGTGGCACCTGCAGCTGGGTTGGATTTAATGCAAGAATTTAAATAAAGGCACTGGAAAATACTTTAAAAAGCTACAAAAAGAATCAGAATCCACCAAGTTTTCCTGTTTGGAAGGAGAAATCTCATTAACCTGGAGCTGGGACTGAGGGTAATGCAGTGGCTTCAGACACATCCCAGGCACAGGCAGTAGTGCCCAAAATCACAGAATTGATAATTAAGGTTGGAAAATCCCTCTGAGATCATCAAGCCCACCACGAAATGCTGTCCCTGAATGTCCACCTACCCCAGCCTGTGGCACCTGCAGCTGGGTGGGATTAAATTCTTTTATTGAAATGCGAAAATTTAAATAAGGACACTGGAAAATGCCCTTAAAAGCTGCAAAAATAATAAAAAACTGCCAAGTTTTCCTGTTTGGAAGCAGAAATCTCATTAACCTGGAGTTGGGACTGAGGTTACACAGTGGCTTCAGCCACTTCAAAGCCGACCTGATAAACACGAGGTTCAAAGTTCCAGGTGACCTTCCAAAGGCGTCAGACGTGACAAACAAAGCCAGGGCATCACGCAAAGCTTTATCTGTGCCCCGTGGTGCCAGCGGGCCGCAGGGCAGCAAACACCTGCGGAG